GAACCATTTATCCCGTGGACATTTATCCTTCGCAAACTAAGTCTATGAAGCTGCAACTTGACCATTCTCCCCCTTCCTCTCCTGATCCTTTACCTGAGTACCATCTTGCTTCATTCTATTCATTTATACTAGAGTTTTAAGTCATGTCTGGTTGACTATTGTATATTTACATACCTAATGTAATTATCACTAATCACATAATTACTGGAAATGTACATAATTGCCTGATCCAAACATATAATTATAATGTATAGCAACATTATGAATCCTATTTTTAAGGTCTACATTTTGGGGTTATTTAAAGATATTTATTAGAAATGATTGTGGACCAACAGAGGTGGCCAGTTTTGACACAGCTTCTTGATAAGGTGCTTCCAAGTGCTTTATAAAACAAAACAATAACTCTACAATGCCTTTTCTTAAAACAGGTCAAACAAAAAGCATACAAACGAAAGATAAAATGACTCTGGTCCGAGTCTACAGATGAGGCTCTTCCTGTGGGGGAATACAGGTCAATCCTTCTGCTCTGTGGGCACTGAAGGGTGTGAGCCAGGCAATGAGATGCCCCTGGTCCTCCCTGCTGGGGGCTCTCCCCTGGCCCAGACGCCCTCACCACTTCTGCCACCTCGAAGATGGAGAAGCTCTTAGACAATGTTTTTGCTCCTTGAATGAGTACTCTGGGACCATGAATGAGCTTCCCTGGGGGAACGGTCCACGGAGACATGCTTTCATAATGGCAAGCTCATCCAATTAAGAAGAGCATGACACAGGTGAAATAGTCTTCCTCACTTCATCCCTATAGTATTCTCTCTGACTTTTCTTGTGTTCCTCAGGGACAAGGTTGATCTAGATCAAGATTTCCAAGATGTATAAATAACTATGTGTTCAACGGACACTGGATGACCTTTGTCTCCTCCACGTCCACCCAACCAACCCGCCCATCTTCCTCACTGCCTTCTATTCCCTGTTTCCATGAGAGCATCCCAGAGGTGAAACAGAAGTGTTAGTCACTAAGTCGTGTCTGACTTTTGTGACCCTGTGGACTATAGCCCACCAGGCTGCTCTGTCAATAGAATTCTTCAGGCAAGAATACTGGAGTGGGTTGCCATGCCCTTTCTCCAGGGGATCTTCCTGAACCAGGGATTGAATCTGGGTCTCCTGCATTGCAGACAGATTCTTCACCAATTGAGACACCAGGGAAGCTAACTCAGAGGTAAGGAATGTTGAATTTGATTGTTTATATAATAGGAGGTCCCTAACATTTCTTTTTCTCCTGCAGAGGAAAGGAGAAGTCTTCTCCTGAATTATGTTATGAAGGCGACTTAGTTCAGCTGATATAATCCTCAGGACCATTTTTCCACATGTATAAGACATTCAAACAAAATGAAGTAAAATGAAATATCTACTTTTCCTCAAATTACATTTTCAACAGCCACAGGAAAGGATGGTGTTTAGTGATTTATTGTACCATAACCCACAATAAGATGTTCTAACAAAAAGTCATCAGCAAGGCCATTGTGGTATATTACAGTGCTATAAACCCAGGGCCCCAGAAAATGCTCTTCTGGGTTACTTCCACCATAATAAGGGATGGCAAGCTCTCTTCTCTGTCCAACAAATACTTGGGGCAAATCAAACTAGTTCTGCCTTGATGCCATTAGGTCCCAAAACACTCTGAATGGTGCAATTCACAAATGCAATATGTCAATTAAGCCAGAAAGGAAAATCCAGACCTATACCATACACCAAGAGGAGGAGACTGCAATCTGGTCAAGTCTGTTCACAGACCCTGCTCCATACAATCCTTACACAACAGCACTCCAGGAGTATTTGAGTAGGTATCGAGAAAGAGCAGAGAATAAATGACAAATATCAAAACAGAATAGCTTTTTGGGAAAAAAAAAAAAAAGAAAGAAAACCTGGCTTTTAAGTCAGCTTGAAAGACCATTATTCTCTAATGGATTTTGATGGAGCCCCCAAGACAGGAGGAGAAGGGGACGACAGAGATGAGATGGTTGGATGGCATCACCTACTCAATGGACATGAGTCTGAGTTGGTGATGGAAAGGGAGGTGTGGCATGCTGCAGTCCGTGGGGTTGCCAAGAGTAGGACATGACTGAGCGACTAAACTGAACTGAACCCAAGACTCTGGGTGGTGAGATGCAAAGCTGTACTCTGTACTTGGCTTAATCTCGAGCAGGAACAGCCCCTTTGAGGCGCACAGGTGCAGATTCTCGGTGCATGAAGATCGACAGAGAGGTCCCAAAGGGACTGTGGCTCAGGAGGAAGAGACCCCAAGGTCTGGTGTGAAAGGTTTCAGGGAGAAACGGTCTGGGCTCTGGGAGGAAGAGACACAATGTGGGAGAAGTACGTTTGCAGAGGTGATCTCCCCCCCACCCCCCCAGTTTGGCTCAGCTGGAGAAAGGGGTTCACTGTGGAAGGTGGAGGGCTGGGAGGGACCCTTGAGGCCATCTGAAGCCTTGTCTGGCTTGGGGTTGGCAGCAGGTTGGAGGGAAGAATTGGAAGGAATGTGTGTTCCCAGATACCCAGTAAGAAAACAACCTTCCTACGAGTGAGCGCAGGGCAGAGCAGGGCAGCTTCACGCTTTAAATCATAAAACAATGAGAGATACTGGAAGTCCTCGGGGGTAGGGAGGGGCAGTGGGAAGGAGAGAATCATTTGCTGGGCTTGTTGGACTTCCAAGGAGAACATTCGAACAGTTAGTTTAGGTTTCCAGAACAGAGCCTGGTGAGAATCCAAAGCCAGGGATGGAGATGTGTGAGGCTGTCAGGAGGAAGGAAGTTCAGAATCCCCGGGGCTGATTGGAGGGCAAGGCCAAATGCAGAACAGAAGACGACCTGGGTGCCCAAGCTGCTCACAGACTGCCCTGTACCTCGCCGGCAGCACCTGGGAAACGGGGACCCCCAGTCCCTGACCTTTAAAGGCACTGCAACAGCTTGTAAATGCAAGGAGCACCAATGAAGCATCTTGAAACAGCTCAGATACTTCATGGGACACCACATGAATGTGAGGGATCATGGATTATAAATTACACCTGGGTAGCTTCACGTCAAGCATCTAGCTTGACAATGGATAGTGAAAAATTAAAACAAAACAAGCCATTGCAACTGTCTCCTGGCGTGCGGCAGTCCAGGGGGTTGCAAAGAGTCGGACTGAAAGACTGAACTGAACTGTCTCAGGAACACTGTTCATGAATAAAGGAGATGCTGGAATTTGTTACTAAAAAAAAAAATAGCTTGGGGACTGGTGAACTATGACTGAGAAAGAGGGTTTGAAAGAAACTTCAATGGTTTTTGTGCTGCCACTGCTGCCCTGCACAGGGAGAGGAGAGGCCACTGGCGCTTCGATCCCATTCTGCTCTCCCATGTGGTATCTCGAGATGAACACTGGGGCTCAGGGGGTGCAATCAGCCCGCAGACATTCCTGATAACCGACCTCAGAAAGCTGATCCACCGGGGCTTTCTGGAATGGGGACTCGGCACCAAAAACGAATGACCGAAGTAAAACTTTAAAATCCCCCAAGCAATCAGGTGAACCTAGACGGTGAGACGTTGTACAAACCTACTGGCTTGGGTTCTGCAATGATGTCAATGTTTCTGAAAGTCAAAAGGCCAGGGAATTATTTTCAACTAAGAAGACCAAAGAGACATGACAACTAAACGCCACATATGTCCATTCATTGATTTCTGCACAGAGGCAGGCAAACCAGCTAAAACAGATGTGTGGGGGAGACATGACCACACCATCTAGGTCAGATAAGGGTGCAAAAGGAGCTCCAGTTCCCTGGGGGTGATGGTGGTGGTGTAGGCAAGGAGACTATCATACCTGCCGCCAAAGGTGCTTAACAATAAACTGGTGCATCTGCGGCTGTCTTTCAGATAGTTCTGGAGAAGTCCACCCATCCATCCTCCATTCATTCATTCATTCTCTCTCTTACACACACACACACGCATCTCTATCTATGTACCTCGGTATATAAGGAAGCAAGTGATAACGAATGTTACCGACTGGTGAATATAGTTGAAGGGAATTATCAGTGTCCATTGTACTGGATCCATCTTTCTGTAGGTTTGAAAAATTGTATTTAAAAATATCCCTAAATCCCCAAACCTCTTTATACCCAGGGATGTGGGGGACAACGGATGCTTTTCAGTTCTTTCAGGTGGGAGCCGTTGCGGGGCAGAGAGTCCCAGAGCAGAACATGATGTCTAAGGCCTCCATACCACCAGCTTGAGCCACATCTACAAGCAATTCCACACGGACAGCTGTGGGAGGCATCTTCCTGGGCCCGAGTCGGCGGGCCAACTAGTGCGCTAGCACGTTTGGGGGCTGCTGAGCCCACCCTGCCCAGGGGCTCCCCTCCATGGCCCCTGAGAGAAACCCTGCAGTGAAGTCACCAGTGACCACACCAAGCCAAACCACCCGGCCCGGCAGTGTGGACGCGGCCGGCAAGGGACACTTCACGCACAGCCCGGGCTACTTACTCCCTAGACTTACCACTCCCTCAAGGAGAGGATGCTCCTTAACCCACATTTGAGAGGTCTGTCCCTTGTTTCCATAAGATTTGAATTCTGTTCATTTTCCTTTCATGACCAGAACAACTTCCAGAACATTTTCAAAGATAACCAGGGACATGAACTTATCATGAGGGGCTACGCTGGGCTCTAGGTATTTGTGGAGGCAACTATTTCCGTTTCAAGTGGAGAAAAGTCCAGAAATTTCAGGAAGTAGGCTGTCTTTCATATGCAAAATGATTTTGGGACCACAGACCCACCCCCCCCCAGTTGCCCTCCTAGCACCACCCCTGCTCTTGAGCCCCCTTCAGCCTACTTGAAGGGCAGGCCAGGTCACCGCAGACAGAGGCGCCTCGGACTGCTGGTGGGGATGGGACAACAGCCTGGCTAGGAGACCGGGTCCAGGATCCCAGGGCCGGTCTGCACGTTCTCTGTTTAAAAACCGCCAACCACGCTGGCTCTTACCTTCGCAAATTCTGTCCAATCGCTGTCGCTTGACTTTGTGCTTATCCACAAGGGCCATTCTTTATCGAACTTTGCACCTCTCTGATTCAAAAGGCAAAGCGGTCCTCTAAGAACTTAGGGGCCCTCGCAGGAGTCTGCGGGCATTACGCCACTACGCGCCCTGAAACGAGGAGAAAAGAAGCCTTACTCTCTGGACACCCTGGGGGCAAGGACAACCGGTCATTCAGGCTTGGCTGCCACTGTGACAAGGGGACCTGCCCTGGGGGACTTGTTCTCCTCCAAGGCTGGAGACAGGGTTTGCTCCCTGTCCCTGGACAGTCTCCTGCCTCCATGAGAAGCGGGGGGACAAAAGGTCATCGGTTCCTGAAAGTAAGTGGTCAGCAGCACCATCTGTGGCTCTTGCTATTGCGGCCAGCGCCAATCACTGACCAGCCTGGGACGGGCGACTTGGTCCTCCGGTGCCAGAAACCGAGCGACAGGCGGCGGTGCTGCTCTGCAACCTCTGAAACTGCAAGGGGACAGAGGCAGAGAGCAGCAGGACTGCCTGGGGCCCACCTCGGCGTCCGGAGGGACGCAGGCACCCAGCTGGGGCTGCTCTCCTACCCCGCCCCCCAGGCGGTTTCCAAAACTGCCCTTTGGCCACCGCTCAGCACCTTTCAACCCTTCCCCCACCGCCCAAGGAGGGGGCAGGAATGGATGCCCCACCTAACCAAGGCTTGCCCAATTCCACCTTCCGAAGTCTTGCTGGCTTCCAGGGGGGCCACCGCTGGGGTCCGCAGCCTGTGCCTGTCCCACTCCCGTGGTGTTTCAAGCAAGTGAGGCAGAGGAGGAGGGGTTTCCCATTTGGGTTGGGTTATTTGGGCCACTCAGAGGAGGCAATGGCAGCCCACTCCAGTACTCTTGCCTGGAGAATCCCATGGATGGAGGAGCCTGGTAGGCTGCAGTCCATGGGGTCACGGAGAGTTGGACATGCCTGGGCAACTTCACTTTCACTTTTCACTTTCATGCATTGGAGAAGGAAATGGCAACCCACTCCAGTGTTCTTGCCTGGAGAATCCCAGGGACGGGGGAGCCTGGTGGGCTGCTGTCTAAGGGGTCGCACAGAGTCAGGCATGACTAAAGCAACCTAGCAGCAGCAGCAGCATTTGGGCCGCTCCCGAGGCACCCCACTGCCCAGTTTGTGGAGAAAAGTCAGGGCTGCCTGTTTGGGGAGGCCCCGACCTTCATCCCCTGCTCAGCCAACGAGCCAGTTGAGGCCATAAATCATCATCTGCAACCTCCAAAGCCCTAGAGCTTCTGATTCATTGCTGGGTTATCCTAACGCCACCACCAACCGCAACACACACACATACAACACCACCAGCTGCAACACACACACCCCACCCCCCAGTTATCCAGCAAATGAGGAGGGGGCAGGAGACAAACACCAGGCTCCAGGGTTAATAATGAGAACTTTTATGGGTGGTCATCAATTATGCAGAATGCTGGGAGTTACTTTATCAAAGGTCAGAAAATGCAGGTCTGACTATGAAAAGGTAGGTGACTTCCTGGAAGTTAATGGCTACTTTCTCAGCAATGAGGCTGAAAAGGCACCCTAAAGATTTATGGCAATAATTACGTGATTTAAAAAAAAAGCACAACTTCTAATCACATAAATAATTAAGGCAACATCCAAGAAATACTAAATCCTTTCCCAACCTGGGATGACCCTGTTGGACAAGCAAGGAGACGAAGGTGGTCCTGAAGTAAGCCAGGGCATTGCTGGGAAGATCTAGGTAAATGGAGATGGAGGAGACAGATTTCTAAAATCCTCGGGACTCCCCTGGTGGTCCAGTGGTTAAGACTCCGTGCCTCCAAAGCAGGGGGCGCAGGTTTGATACCTGGTCAGGGGATTAAGATCCCCCATACCATGAACTCAAAAAAGTGTCTTCACTTTTGCTGGGCTTTGTGAAAGGTAATTATGCAAAGTGGGGAAGGTGGTTCCTTACTGGCCAACTTGAGACAGACAGATGGAGGAGCCGGAACTCTGGAGCAAGGGTTTGTGCCTGAGAGAGGCCAGCTGGCAATTTTCATCTGCCTGGGTCCCGGGGTCTGATCAAGAGATGGCCCTTCCTTCCTCAGCTCCGGAGACAGACCCCAAGTTAGCCGCGGCATCCAGGGGTGGGAGAATTAATTAGTTAATATTTGTGAAGTGCCGTGGAGATGAGAAATGACAGCATTATCATCCCAGGCAAGACGGGTTTCACACCCTCCTCCTCCTCCTCCAATTCCCCGAGTGAAGCATAATCATTCTTTTTGCTTTCCTTTGAATTTTAATTTGTATAATTAGATGGCTTCCTGAAAAATTGATAAGTAGAATCTCGATTATGCAATCAAAGGAAAGATCAGGCATCAGCTTACACAAATTGTGTGCGTCCTGGTTTATTGTAAAAAAAAAGAGGCAACTGACTTCTGCATCTTGCCAGGGGGGGAGGGTGGGGTGGGGGTACTCAGACCAGCTCTTGCATGGGGTTCCCTCCAGGTCTGGTACCTCTCATGACCCAGACTGGCCCTGCTGATAGAGAACTCAGGCGTGGGGCCACCAGGCGGAGGCCGGACACCATGGCAGTGACCACTGCTTCCGGTAGCCTCTACCCCCACCCCCCAGGGCTCCCCTCTCCCCAGCATTTCTTTTGAAGCAAGGTTGTATGCAACGTGACATTTTCCCCTTTCACCCTCTGAAGGAGCGAGCTATTTACGAGGACTTAATGAGCCTCTTCCTAATGACAGGGACAGGCCCCGCTCAGAACTGGGCTGTAGGCAGTGGTCCCCAGCTGGTGTCCCCTGCAAGCCAACCTCTGCCTTTACCGTACGCCAGTCTGCCGTCTCCACGCCTACATCACAAGCTCTGGGTCACTGAGGTTATTAGTGCTATCACCAATTGACACCATCTGATCAATATTTAACTACAAATAGATAAAAGGTCCACACAGGGAAGAAAAGCCAGAAGGAGGATATATTGTGTTGCCCACTTTGAAATGATAAACCTTCAAATCATGGTGGTGTGCGTGGGAAGAGAGTTCTAGAACCCACTTGCAAATGCCTGTGAACGAGCCAGCTCCATGTTTGCACAACAGGGATGAATGTCGCAAAGAAGCTGTGAGGATCAGATGAGAACACACAGGGAAACATTTGGAGCCCAAGGGCAGGCCTCTAAGAACGGCTCACGACTTCCTCTGGCGAGAGAGGGAGTCCTACTTGGACAAGGGCCGCGGTCACACTGGATCACCCGCCTCCTGGTGAGCTGGAGATAAATCCCAGCGAAACTTAAGAAAGGTCAAGAGGAAATTCAGGTCTTTTCACAAGTAGGAAGGGCACACTGCTCACAAGCCTTACAAGAAAAAAACACTGCCTCCTCCCCCACCCCAACGGGAAAAGATCTGCCTGAAGTCTCTTAGCTTGAGATGAGGGGTGTGATTGGGAAGCTGAAAGATGCTTGCACAAGAAAGCTACTTGGGGGAATTCCCTGGAGATCCACGGGTTAGGGCTCCCTATACTCTCACTGCCAAGGGCTGGGGTTCGATCCCTGGCCAGGGAACTATGATTCCACAGTCTGCATAGTGCACACTGCCCCCCCCCCCCAATATAAATAAATACATTGACTAAATAAGGAAAGAAAGCTACTTGGAGATTCTAGAAGGAAGCTACAGGCACGGGAGATTTGTCAAGACAAACCTGAGTTAGCAAAAGGGAGAAAAGAAAGGAAGGCATCCCTTTACATACAAATGCAAAACACCCAAAATTGAGACCAAGGAAAATAAAAGGTTCCCCACTCACCCCTCCGGGACTAAAATCTGGGCAGATTAACTAAATGACCACAAGCAGCCCTGCTGGTCAGGACCGAACCACTATAATGACCAAAACCTAGCCATCACTAATTGGCATTCTCAACATCTCAAATAAATTTCTAAGACCGCCCCCGCCCCGCAGTTTCATTCTTCCAGTTTCAAGTCTTCTTAAAGAACAGGCAGATAAAGGAATTTACAGAAAATAAACGATGTCTTCAGTGATGTCTCTCAAAATGCAAAGTCCTCTAAAACCAGTTAAAGGTGATGGTAGTCTTCAATTCTTTTAAGGAAATCTACGTAAACATTATGCTAATAAAGAGAGACCAAATTTTACAATTTGTGAACCCCTGGAGTCTGCAGAATGCATTCCACTGTTAAATCTGCAAACTGAACAGATCTTCAGGGGTGGGTGGCAGGGATCTGAAGTCTGAGAGGTTGGACTTCCCTGGTGGCAGTGCAGTGGATAAGAACCCATCTGCCAACGCAGGTTCGATGCCTGGTCCTGAAAGATTCCACATGCCCAGGGGCAACCAAGCCCACGTGCCACAACTACTGAAGTTACACCCTTGAGGGTCCGAAAGCCATTAAGTAAGGAGCCCCTGTGAGCCAGCCACATGCCCTAGAGCCAGCAAGCCACAACTGAGCCTGCGCGCTGGGACTACTGAGGCCGTACACTGCAGCCTGTGCTCTGCAACAAGAGAAGCCACCGCGATGAGAAGCCCGTGCGCCGCAACTCGAGAGTAGCTCCTACCCTCTGCAACCCTCTGAAAAGCCCAATGCAGCAACGAAGGCCAAGCGCAGCCAAGAACAGTCTGAGAGCTTGCCCTGATCCAAGCAGAGAGACGCCTGCAGCCCCAGCAGCATTGGTTCATGAGGTCTCTTGCCTTTCTGAGCCTGGGATCCCTAAAGGAATGACACCACTCCTTGGGTCTCCTTTACCGTGGCCAACAAGGATCCCCTGAAGCGGCAACAGGGTCATCTCACCAACTTGTGCATGACCAGCAAGTCGGCACCATCCAGGTAAAGGCAACACCAATGACCAAAAAACCCTCTGCTTCTTCAGTTCAGTTCAGTCGCTCAGTCGTGTCTGACTTTTTGAGACCCCATGAATCACAGGACACCAGGCCTCCCTGTCCATCACAAACTCCCGGAGCTTACTCAAACTCATGCCCATCAAGTTGGTGATGCCATCCAGCCATCTCATCCTCTGTCGTCCCCTTCTCCTCCTGCC